TTAATATTTATCTGCCCCTGGCTGCCTGTCATGTGGTCCTCGATGGCTTCCCAAAACTCAGTAAGCAGCCCTCTGCCCAAAATAATTGCCTGCCCCTGCCTCAGACTAACTCATTCATGAGGCATGAGCTTTTATAGTCTTCAGCCAACTTTGTCAACTGCTGTGAATGACAAAGTAGCATCTGACAAAGTAGGCTATAGTCTATAAAAATGTGTGCCTCTGAACAAGCTAGCCTGTAAATACCACCCTACCCTGCATTCTGCCTTTATGTATCATACAAAAACTTAGAGCCCCATCCATGATACCCTACCCTATTTCTGTCATCTGTTCTTGTATATGTTCTTATTCCACAGTAAGTGGAAGCTAAACTGTGATAGCTTAGTCCTCAGTGAAAGAGGAGGTTTTCAGGGTTTTGCTTCTATTTATTGTGTGTATGTAGGCAGACACATGGTAAAGCTCAGTTCCTTTTTACCCCATAGTAAATTGTTGGTATTTCCATACCCTGAGAACTAATATAGATTTACAGTCTTGATGGATGGGAGTCATATGAGGACCTTATGGATGATAAAGCCTGTGTCATATTGCCAGCTGATGACGTTTGTATTGTCACCATAAACCAGTTTTATTTGAACTTTAACAAGAAAAATGTAGTTACCAGTACAGAAATCTTCAAACCAATGAGGTTTCTAGCTCTTTTGAAAGCAAGAGTGCAAATTGCACAACAGTGTCTCACAGAATACCTTGGTTCCTTAAAGACAATGAAACTACAGTTCATGACATAAATCCTGCAAACTCTTCATGTATGGTGCTCCCATGGCACTATGTAATTATAACTATACACTTCCTTTGTGATGGGTAATAAAGCTTTGTTTAACTACTTAACCCCAAACAATTATGCATCCCAAAGGCCACTATTAAGATAACTATTACATACAGCCATACTGAATTCATTAAACTCTTCCTATAGCCAAGGACTTTTGATCAAAATCAGCACAATGATATCTTTGCTAACAATGCACTGGATACTCTAGACATGCGAGTTACACATGAAAATTATGTGGGACCAAACTATTTAGTTTAATACGCTGGTTCTGTAGTACTGGATAAAGCTAAACCACAAATACCATCTAGTTAATTGTATTTTTCCTTGTAAATTATCTGTAATAACCAGTTCTCATCTTCCACTATGGATAAAGATCATGACAATAACAGGACGGCATAACGTGATAGCCTGTGTTTTCTGGTTCAGCTCATCTCTTTTCTGAAATGCCTTTTCTGTTTGGAATATAAGCTCTTGAAGGTTTGGGTTCCAGTTTGTACCTATGGCTAATGCTGTGTGAAATAAATTCCCCACCTCTAACATCTGTTGTTCAATAAGCTCCTTGCATGGCTTTCACCTCAAGAATTTTCTAATTAGGGTCAGCCCAAAGAATTTTAGGTGCTGCCTCTACCCCACTGCCAGCTTAGAAAGCTCCTCATTCCAGATCTCCAACCCTCAAAACATAAGGGAACACTAGGAGACCAGCATGAGTTCTTTTACAATGACCCTACATTTTGGCAGCTGTCTCTGTTAGTTCTTGTAAAAGCTGTACTAAAACATACTCAGTATGTAACCATTTGTCTGTAGTCTAGCATTTGAGGACTTCAGTTAAAGTGCACCAAACTTTTCATGATGTTCCATTATGATTTTAAGGCAACATCAGAACATTAAAGAATACACTGCAATTGTGGCCAGCAGTGGTTTGTTAAGGAAAAGATAAATAGAATATGTAACAAATGAGAAAACGAATAGTGACCTCTTCTGAAATCTTCACAAGGAAAAGTCAGTTTAATAGCCTGTGAGAATTTTGATGAGCAGTCAATCTGAACCCCCAGTCCACTGTAACCCTATAAACAATGTTCTTCATCTGATAAGCATTACTCAGATGTCAATGGGTAAACATTTGACCATATAAATGTCCCTGAAGGAAACTACTTTTCTTTCATTTTTAAATTACCACAGCTTAATGAGGTTGTATTTTCTCATCAATTCAAACCATATTCTCAATTGAAGTTCACTTTCATTGCTGTCAGGACTTACAGGCAGATGTCCACCAGCTGATCCAGTTCAGGACAGCTGCATTCATACATGTCCCTGCAGCTGATATGACTCTGGTTCATTAATTCTCCCAGCAGCTGAATTGCATTGGCAGGTGCCTCACTACATATCTTCTTAAACTCCAGCACTCTGGCAGCTTCGCTGTACACATGCTTAGCACGCTGGTACAATTTAAAGGTGGTGACTAAAGAAGGTGAAAAATAATCCATGTTAATTATCCATGCACACATGTCTAACTGAAAAGGAACCAATGGAAACTTCAGTGTTTTAAATTTTTCAGCTATTTTTAATTTTCTAATTTATATTAGAACTCAGAGACCAAAGATTTTTGCTACAAACAACACATTTCTACGCTAAAGCTCTGTTTTAACACTGGGAAACCTCAAGACCAAAGTATTTATAATTTTAGTTTTGACAATTTTATGCATGTGCCAAGAAGACTATAATAAAACAAGTGTAGGGTAAATGAAGCCATCTCTTTATATAAACAGTTTGCAAAGTGCTGCAGAATCACATTACAGCGACTAGAATTGGTCTGGCCATTTGAGGCCATAAGATTTGTAATGAGGAATGGAAATATCTTTCAAAGAATGTATTTGCAAAACATTTGAAGCTGGTTCTAACTGACATTAAACACACACACAAATATGTATATATTAACATGTATAGGGCCTGATTCTGCTGAAATGATGGTCCATTATGATTTCAAGGCAACATTGGAAAGCAATGGGATTAATGTGGTAGTTAATTATGGACCTGATTTAAAAAGCATTAAAACTCTTAGTGCAAACAGCCGATCTCTTTGCTGTATAGGAGAATGTATATATCCTGACACTGCCAAGGCCTCCTGGATCGTGAAGGCTCCTTTGTTCTAAAGGACCCAGATCCACTGATAGAAGATGATTCCAATTCTGTCTTTTAGTGTAGGAGGAATGTTTGGAGTCACAATCTTTACCAGTTCTAACCAATCCGGAAGCCAGCTGGACATATTCAGGAGGTTGAAGAAAGGTCTCTCCTATGGTATCACAGTCATGAAGAAGCTTTCCTTGCTGAATGTTCACCTAAATGCTGTAGTTGGGTCCCACCCTGTTTGCACCTGTTTGCTTTTATATTTCTTAAGTCTGAGCATAGATGCACTAGGGCTGTGTGAAATTCTGGCAGCTGTTTCGTTTTGGAGGTGTTTCAGGCCATTTCGGTGCTGGAAACACCAAATCCGAATTGAAACAGAAGGCTCCAAAACATCTCCAAAACAAAAAGAGGCATCCAAAAAATTTCAGAAATGTTTCCAAAAATTTTGGAGTTTCAGAGCAGGGCTTGCAGGAAAACAGCTGTATGCTGCTGGCCTGCTGCGCAACTCGGGTCTGTGGGGAGCAGAGATCCACACCAGGGGTCTCCTCATCACCACTGCCCACCCCACGCTTCCCCGGTGATGTGTGGCTGTATGGGGTGGGCAGTGGTGGCTAGGAGACCCCCGGCACAGATCTCTGCTCCCTGAGGAGCCAGGTCACATGGCAGGGCAGTGCAGGTCCGTGCCACATAACCTGGCTCTGCAGGGAGCAGAGATCTGGGGCAGTGTGGGGTCAGCAGCAGCGACAAGGAAACCCCCAGCACGGAGCTCTACTTCCTGCAGAGCCAGGTTGCGTGGCAGGGCAGTGCTGGTCCCTGCCACGACCTGGCTCTGCAGGAAGCAGAGATCCACGCAGGGGGTCTCCTCACTGGCACTGTCCACCCTGTGCTGCCCTGGATCTCTGTTCCCCAGAGCCGGGTTATGTGGCACAAACCCACACTGCCCTGCCATGCAACGCCAGGGCAGTGTGGGGTGGGCAGTGGTGATGAGACCACCAGTGCGAATCTCTGCTCCCCGCAAAGCCGAGCTGTGCAGCAGGGACCAGCAGGCTTGCTCGCCGCTCTGTGCTGTTTCCCTGCCCTGCGACCCAGCATGACAGGGATCAGAGATCCGCACAGGGGGTCTCCTTGCCTGCACAGAGGGCAGCAGCCCTCCTCCTCCCCTGAACGAGCCACTGTGATGACTGTAGATGTTATAGGGCTTGTTAGCACTGCCCTGAGCTGGTCTGCCTACAGGTGGTGACAGGGTGGACCTTGGCTCTGGATCACCTGGTCTGCCAGGAAGTGGATCTTGCATTTTCTCTCCTGCCACGACTTTGATGATGTATATATTCCTGGGAGGCACTGCCCCTGGTGATCCTGCCTGATCTTGATCCTTGTTTCTTCTGTGGGGCTCCAAAACCTCCCCTTTACTCCAGCCTAGCCTCTCCAGATTCACAATATTCACAATATTCTTCCACAGGCAAGTTGCAGTGCTGTGCCTGTTGTGGCCTTATTTTGGCCCTCTACCCCAGCGTGTCCTTGGGCCTCTTTTGGGTACATCCTTCCAGGGGCCAGTCTTGGCCTATGCTCAAGAAAATCAAAAGAAACAGCAAAAAACCCCACAGAACTCTCCGGCTGCTTCTCAGCCTTCTTGTCAGGTTCTGGTAATGTCCCTTTTACTCGTGATCAGGTGCTCAACATCCCAATCACCATAATCCGGACAAAAAAATCCCTCAGTCCATTCTTTGCAATGTGCTAACCTACCCTGCACCCCTATGAATGTTCACAGTCTCTTTGGGGTTTCCCCCATGTGCTGACAGGCTCTACCTGTACCTGTATTTTTTTTTTCCCTTCAGGCCCTCCTCCAGATCCTCTGCTGAAAAACTCCAGTCTGGAGATTCTCTCAGGCCTTGGGACTCCCTAAGTCCGGATCCTCAGCTGCAGCTCTGCTCCGGAGAATACCACCCACCACATGTGTGCAGGCCTCCCACATGTGTGCACACCTCCACCTGCCTCAGGATCACTCCCGCAGCGTTCCTCAGGCACGTTCTGCAGTTTCTGCCTGCCAAGATGCTCAGCCGCTCCTCTCTCACTGCAGCCTGCAGGGAACTGACCCCTCTCTGCCCCTCTCCAGGGCCGGAAATACCTTTGGGCGGCCTCCCTAAACACTATGATCAATTCCCTGCTGGGCTAATCAGAATGTCCTGCCAGAGCCTGGCCACAATCTCCTTCCCCCCCACCCCCTTAGCTCAGTACTGTAGAAGGGAAGGGAGGGCTGCTCTAGCGCCTCCCAGATTCTAGCCTGAGCCACTGCATCTGGACATCTGATGCCCCATGATGGTCCAAAGGCATAGGCCCTGAGATTAGTGATGTCCCTGCCCCAGCTATGTAAATATACTATTTACCCCACCTTTGAGGATATTTTGTTTTCCTGTTTACCTCCCCTTGACTTAAATAAAATGCATAACATGCAAATTCACAAAAGGGATTCCAGAATGCATTGTCTTTAGTTCAGATGGCATAAGAGGAATACTCTTCTAGGCCAAACAGTAAGTTATGCGTATGCACTTCCCAGCCTCAGCTTTCTCAGGGGTATTTGGCCTTATGTCAGTATCTTTCAAAAAAAGTTAGCGTACTTCCATTACCCTTTTCCTTCAGAACTTGGAGTTTCCTCCCGCTCCTTCAGCTAGCTTCCTTTTCTGATCTCTTCCTTCTTGCTTTAAAATGGGTAATGACATAATCTTTTGCCAGGTGCCCTCCTTATTAACTTCACTAGGCTGGGTGATTGTTATCCTTCAACAGCTTTATGTACTTAGAATTCAGATCTAAAACAACAATTCTCTGGAGTGGTAGCCAACTCCTTCTCCAATACTTTTTCATTTGATTAGATGACTACTTAAGGTTTAGCAACCCCCTTTTCTTGGAATTATACCTCAAAATGGAGGTAAAAAGACAAGAAAGAAGGCAGACAAGTCTCACATTCAAAAGGACAGCTGCATTCTGCCATAGATATAGCATTCACAACATCAAACAGGTGACAAGGGAATAATGTCAAATATGCATGAGGTCAGGAGTCACCATAACCAAGGATGCATTCTTGAGTGGTAGGGTCAAGGAATCCTGGGGACAGAGGACAAACTGATTGTGGTGGTGTTTATTTCGGTAGAAAATTATGTGGGGGCTGGACTAGAGGGTTTCCTGATGTCTTTTCCAGCTCTGCTGTTTTCTGATCTTACTAATCCATTGCTAGGTAGAAAGGACTAAAACTGCATGTAAGAGTGGTTATCTTTGGTGGTAAAATCTTAGTGGGATCCTGTATATTACTGGTCCTTTTCTGAAGAGTTGTAATATTGTAAATGCTGCTTTGAGGTAGTCTGGAAAGCTAAGACCCTTTGATGGGAGTGCGGATGCAGTACAAGAATGAGGAGGACTGGGAGTGCCAATGATGATAACTGCTTGGGTTGATGCCACTGAGAGCAAATTGTAGTGAACTGGGACTTTGATGGGCTTTGCCATTTTTTTTCAGCTGAGAATTTAGCTCTGAGACAGACTGTAACAAAGACTAAGATTACAGAACAAAACAACTTTTCTCTATTGCTAACTACTGCTTTACTTGTTGTATAACTCAGATAGAAATTAATGTAAGTTAGTATGGCTATCTACTGAATAAAACATGGCCAGATTAGGTTGAAGATGAAAACAAAATGGGGGAAAAATGCACCTTGGAAGCTAGATATTGTTGGAAATGCCACTAAACAATAGAGAAAGCTTAAACAACAATTTCTGTTTTATTGAATTCGGAGGTGTGTTTTGCTATGTCTTTCAATCATGTTGTTGCTTCTATAGCTATCTGTACTATAAGTTGCACAATGGTGCCTCCGTGTTCAACTGCTGGGGAACAGCACAGGACTCATGGTAATCTTTTAGGATCTTTAAATATACTTTTTTGTGAGGCCATTGTCTTAGAGCAAGGAGATTTCTAAATGTGCATTTGTTTAGGGCATATCTGAAGTTGCGTGAGAGATTGCCATAGCTCACACTCTCTTGTAAATCACCATTGAACAGTAGTAACCCAAAGAATGAACAGAAAACATGTCTGTTTTCAATTTTAAGGCAAAAGTCTTGCCAAAGGCTGTGATTGATTCGGAGACCACCCTTTGGTAAAGCAATGCTTTACTGGCCAGATTACCTTAAAACACTTCATGGCTGTGTTATGCTCGTCACGTTATGTATTGGCAACTAGAGTGGGTCCTCTAGCTGCTGGCTACTAGCCAGAAAATCTGAAGCCAGATACTTGACAGCATTCTCATGTAGAGAAGACTCCACAACTTCGATATTTGGTTTGTCTATAATCTA